GATTCAGAGTGCTCACTTAGTATCTAACTGCAACAACATATACCGTGAAGAGCTGTTAAGACATTCTAATAACTTAACCAGGCATACAAATAAAAACATTAAAGCATGTCACTTCACAGATTGCACTAGAAATCCAAGCAGCAACAATTCAAAGCTATAATGCAATGACTACTCATTTTTTCTTTTTTTCAGATAGAGCATTATCAGTTGAAAAAGGCATGTTATAGAGCTAGCTTTATACTTCTGCAGTGTTAGAAAAAATCCAGTAGAAATCATAACCAAAAATAGAAAATTATCATACTGGTAAACTAAGCATGTTTATAAATAGAAAAAGTAGTATCTCACCATCTTTTAATTGGAAGAGTCTGTATTTTTCATAAGATTCTATTCCATTATTTTATAAATTCCTTTACTAAATTTGACACTCCATCACATATTCTAAAGGATATAGTGTTTATTAAGATTGTGGGAATACCTATGACCAAATATGTTAAATAAATTTTAGGGAAAAGAAAAGAAAAGAGGAAAAAAAAAAAAAAAAAAAGAGAGAGAGAGAGAGCAGTTCTGTTGTCACTAGTTTTGCCATTTTTCCTGAGAGAAAGCTAAATAGAGTTTGTATACAATTATGTAATAACAGAAAATTCCAAAGTAAATTACTGAATTTCTGCTCTGTTTTATTTAAGAGGCTTTCCAAATTCTGTCTCATCTTTAAGTTTTCACTCGCTCACAATCCTAGTCAAGTCAAACTGATGGTCAGTTCCATCTGCACAGGTGAGATGTACCAAGATCTGAATAAATGGTTTTCATTTCCCTAAATAGCTTTAGAGGTTACATTCAAAACTACATAGAGAATTCTTTTTCACTAATCTTTTCATGCAATAATTTTTGTCATACTATTGCACACAAAATTTAGCCACATGACAGATGTGATAAAATTGCTAAGCTGCATTTCAATCTCACACACCAAAACAAAACCTTCGATAAAAATTCCATCATACAAATAGTCGAACTTTCACAGTAGCATATAAATTTTTATGAGTGCTTCAGAAAAAATATGCTCTATACCGGCTCTTCTAAAACAAAATCCTGTACCTGCCATACTGTGGCTTTCCCATATAATTTACTGAATTTTTTGGTCAGTACTGTGGGTTGTTGTTATATATGAGAAAACATTTTCTACTGCATGAAAAGGACATATTCAAAAGCATATTTAGTTCTTCCTCTTTTCATGTTTCACTGAGGTTTTGTTTTGGTTTGTTTGTGTTGTTTTTATTTTTTTTTCTTTGCTTTTCTCAATTAATAAAAAACAATTGATACCTGTTTATTTAAATAACTGTCCTGAAATTTATTTCCATGCATAAATCCTTACTTTCCACTTTATTTAGTGAATAAAAGAGAGATATGGATATGCCAAACCAGTTCTTTCCAGTGCTACACTGCAGTTATATGCAGGAAGCATACTAATTTTTCCAGACTATAAAAAGTTATTGTGGGTATTTTTCTCCATAAGACCTCTTTGTTCACAAAACCTATCCTGTTCTTATGAGACTCAATTTTCAGAGAATGGGCACTGAGTGCACAGTGATATGGAAAAGCGATTTCGTGGGAACTCTGTGCTTTTTACTGTGGTTTTTAACTTGTCTTCCTCTGAAAATTAGGTTTACACAGTTACATAATTCTCTTCGTCAGTCCCAGCAAATCTTGAGCCTGTTGGCTCATTTCATCCCAGTTTAGCAGAGTGACAGACTGCTCCAAGTTAATATGTTGCAACCAGTTTAGAGAAAATTGATGGCAAGATATAGCAGAATGCATTGTTTGGGGTTTATCAGTAATGAAAGTGAAGGAATTACTCAGATCTCATCATTTACAAGATGCAGAGGCCTGGAAGGCAGTATTATATCGAACAAAACCTACGATATTTATCTGCCAACCCAGAGCACTTACAGATGTTGGAGGAACTTAAAGGTAAGTGGGAAGATTAACCTAGCAGGTGTGGGGAGAGTTAAAGGAACTGAAGAAGGGTAACAGGACAGGAGAAATCTGAAAATCCCATGAACTAGGGGGAATACTTACATGCATGAGATAGAGTGCAATGGTAGAGAGACAAATGGATTTGTGGGATATAGGAACACAGGATAGACACAGAAATTAAAACATCTGAGTTAAATTAGAGGAAGTGCATCAGCAGAAAGTTCACTGAGTGAAGTTTTGAAAGCTACATTTTGGAGTGCAGTCCCATTTCTGCCAAATGGTTATCTAAAACAGATTAGGGAATCAAGACTGGATCTGGCATGGTTTAGAAATGATATATGTGAAGACTTGTAATCAGCTTATTCCCATGAGAAAAATGTTTCTTAAATGAAGATGCAAGTGATCTGACCAAGAGGGCAGATCTAACCACTTCCTGCATATTTTTAATTCTTCCAGGAAGGGACACAAAGCCCCTGTACAGCAAAAATCGTATGTTTGGTATAAAAATCTTTAGAATGACTTTGAATTAAAGTATACGATGAGTTAATGGTCAGTGTAATCATTATGAGAGACTTCAGTCCTGTCTGAGATCTAACAAATGGATATTCTTTAAAGAGATCGTTGCTGAGATTTAAAGGCTAAAAATAAATCTGGTAAACTGCAGTATGATAAGCCCAAGAGATGATTCAATTCAGAAGTAAGGACCTCAGGCCAGTGCTTCCTCTAAGCACGAAACAAATTTACCAGTTTCTAATAGCAATGCAGATAGTACAGAGAGAGCACAACCACAAATAAATAATCCCACATTAACAAGACATCAAGTTCAGTGAAGATTAACCTCAAAGACAGAATATAATGAAACAAATTTCAAATGGTATGGTAATGGCAAGATACTTCCAGCGATAGCATAGCCCAAGACCAAATCTGTACCATAAATAAACATCCATAACAGCACAGATACAAACAAAATTTATAATAACTAGTAATTTTTTACTCCCAGTAAGGCTGTTAAATTATACCACAACACAACTGTAAGGATGGGAAGCAGAATTAGTAACAATTATGGTGGGTCTGAGTACACTTCAGTTCTTTCAGCAAGCAGCTAGCACTGAGCAAAGAAATTCACGCAACCTCCCTAGTCATTGCTTCCTACACTACCTCAGCTATGCAGCACTGACTGCATGGCCTAGCTTGGTTATGGGGACAGCAAACAGTAAGGAATTTAGGTTTGGAGCTGTCCTCCATTGCTTGAAGTCAAGGCCACAGGAGTGGAAAGAGCAATCTCTCAGTGACAGCTGTGGCTTGATGCTCCTTCCAAGTACTGTAACTGTAGGAGAGTAATTGGGGATGCAGTAAATATTAATGTGCATGATTGATTGGAAAGAGCATGCTATTAAAAGCAGTTCTGAGAAAGTAACTTGAAATAGAAGGTATTTTGATGCTGAGAAAGGAAACGTCAAAAAGGAAGACTTTTGCAAAGGTGCCCATAAGCTCCAGGGCCCTACAGGAGAGTGAAAATGGTGCCTGTCTCTGTATGAGTGTGCATTGTATTGCAATAAAGTGAGACCATCACTTTCACTTCTCAAAGCTGGCAGCCTATGGCAAACTGCCCTGCTCACCTCACAGTCTCCCTCAGATGGCCTTGCTGTAGTCAAAATAAAAGACAGAATATATGTACACCTGAAAAAAAACGTTGCTTTCTACTTCACTGAAGACAGTGGCATCTCTGCCGTGGTATTCTGATGATCAGAAGTGTTTGAGTCCTTCTTCGCAGTAGCATATCATACTCTGGGAATTTTTGGCACCAATGGTAATTGTTGTGCCCACAGCTCCTGCATTGCTGCCCCTCCAGTCACACAAAACCACCGGCAGCCCAGCAGATGTCTCAGATGAGAATTTAATTACGGTGTACATTCCTAGATCACACATACATGTATATACCTTTCTATCATCTCTTGTAATTTAATGCTATAGGGTAACCTTAGCAAAAAAGCAATTGCATTCCAACAATTCCTACATTTAGCTAAACAGGCAGCAGCTTCTATTCTCCACAGGGAGTGCTAGACCTCAGTTGAAAATGAATTAAATAATAATAAAAGGGGAAAATAAGAAAGGTAGAAAATAAATAAATAAATAAGCTACCATTCCCATGTTCTCCTATAAACGTGCTCTGGTGATAGTTTAGCCACAGCTGACAAATAAGCAGAGGTTATGGAGTTTGATTAATACAGATTGCAAAAGAATGTAATCCATTTTAATTTTCTTGAAAGGAACATTGCAATTTTTTTTTATTTTTTTTATTTTTTTCTGGAAGTACACTGTTTAATGAGCAGTGTGCTAACGTCTACCTCTAAAACTAAGGTAACATAGTTAACATAATAATTTCAGCCCAAGCAGAGAGGCAGTAAAATATGAATTATACTTTAGATTCTCCATGCAGACAGCCACAAAGAAATACCAGAGAATTATTAATAAAAAATGAAGTTATATGAAGTAAAATAAGAAAATTATGTCTTAGCTCATGAAAGTTGTTTATATGTTTTCACGACAGTGTTTCATAAGATTAAATTATGCTTCATTTAGTCTTAGAGCTGGGAGTAGTACAAACCAAGGTTCAAAGCTTAGTAATGTTGCATTATTTTTAACAGTGTTTTTCTTGGTATTCAATAAAATACAAAATCAAAAAACAGCAGTTTAAAGGAATTGATGAACTACAATAATTTGGAAAGTTTGGCATGTGACTATATTTATTTTTTAAAAAGTGATAATTATAATTAATTATAACATAATTGACATTAATTACAAAAGTAAATAATTGAAAATAATATTCTTCTTCATTATCCTATATCAGAATTCCTAGATTCTGGGATGTAAAAATTACCTAAATATGTAGACAGAAGGAGAAGTCTAGCCAGTGAGGGAAAAATATGTAACTCATATGTCACAAAAAATATTATGGAAAGGAAAAAAAATCTTTTTTATCTATAGTCTGCAAAGCCTTTGATGCGACAGTCTGCAAATGTACATACCCATTTGACACCCCACATTCCAGAACTCTTGAGGATTATAATTTGAAGAATTTGTTCTTGTCCCTTTGGGGTAGATTCTTGTAATGAATCGTGAAGTATGTGAAACAAACTCATTACCTGAAAAACAGAATGATAAAACTTTGGTAAGGCAAACTTTATTTTATTTTATTTTATTTTATTTTATTTTATTTTATTTTATTTTATTTTATTTTATTTTTAAAAAGGGAGAGAGATCCTATTTGAATAAATAATAAGAAAAATATAATAATTGATCCAGCTTTTTTGTGTGTGTGCTTTTTTCCTTTTTTTTATTTCTTTTTTTATCATTTCATGGCTTTTCTACACAATACAGTAGTATATGTGACACTTGGAGATATGTTTAAACTCCTGTTTTTAAACCTTAAAATGTGGGAGTATAGTGCAGATTATTGTTAAAGGTTCAATAACTGAGGATCATTCCTTCAGGGAAGTATTCTATTTCTTTACCTTTTTATTAGCTAAATACACATCTTTTACACTAAAACCCACTACGTTCCCCTGGAAAATAGGAAAGACACAAAACAGGAAATTTGCTTAAAAGCCCACTCATTCTTGAATTGTTCAACTGGAAGAAAAAAAAAAAATATATCTATCCTAAAACAATTTAAGCTTGATTGCTGTTTTGAGGTTTAAGTAAATTGAACGAATAATCTCAATACCAGTGAGCAACACTTTTCTAAAATATACTTAATTGACTACTTTGCAATCTTCAGAAGATGTTAACTATTCAAGTCAGTTGAATTTCTTCCTCCTAGCAGTGTTCCTTCCCCCCAAAAAAAGAATAAACCACAGAGATGTGGAAAACCTAGAATGATTTCTATCTGAACTATTCCAGTTAAGTGATTAAATAGAAAGCTTTACACTTCCAGGATCACCATTCTCTTACTTTCCATCCTCTCCCTGCCCCCTAATTTTAATACAAAATACTTTTAGATTTACAAGATTGCTAGACAGACTAGAGAGGACTTTGACTATGAACAGCTGGCAAAAACCTACTTGCTTTATTGCCATTCAGCACCATTCACCTAGCCAACCATCAATTCATCTCCACAGAGAAGTGGGTGGCAGCTGGACTGGTCCTAAATGAAAGGGTTTGTGGCAGACTTCATTCTCATGTTCTTAATACTCCCTGAAGACTGCCAGTAGACAGCTGGAGTTAAAACAGCAGAAGCTGCACCAAATGGAAATATCCCAACACAGAAGGAGTTTTGAATAATCCAGCTTGGCCTGTGTGAAAGATGTGGTGCAATGGAACAGACTGCTTGCTATGGGGTTTATTCATTCTTTCATGTGATTTCTTTTATCTGCAGTTATCATCAGAGCCGGGGTACTACATACTCGACTTCATTGAGGACCACAAGCTATGTAAGGAGAAAAACTCTGTTCCTTACATTTTCAAGTATTGACTGTAACTTTTAACTCATTTGATGGAGGGAAAAAATGAATCAAAAGTTATTCATGCATTTTGTATACTGTGTAAATATTTGTTCTTATAAAACTATATGAAATTAAAACAACTTTGAATTTCAAATTTGCTCACAAAACCCGCTGAAAACATAAAAATGCAGTTCAAATGATGAGGTATTTCTAAAACAATTTTATAGAAAAAAACAAATAAAATTGGACAGTGTGCATTTCATAAAGATTTCTAACCCTTCCAATTCCTAAGCAATGAACCATAGCATGGTAATATTCATGTGGTTAAATCAAAAGAAATTACCTGAATGTTTAACGAATTTTCGCGCTTTAACCTCTCCAATTGAATTATTTTCATAGCACTTCTGATTAGCTAGTGAATGCTCGAAGCTTACAAACTTCTCAGATTTGGTATAAATCACAAGGTCTGACAACTCAATGGCAATCTTTATCTTCTTAATCTAATAATCATAATATGAAATAATGTAAGAACAGCAAAAAAAAAAAAAAAACACACAATAAAGTGTATGTCATGATTATTCTTAACGATTCAGAAGAAGCATCACATTAGATGCATAAAGCATGGGAAAACATGTCACAATTAATATCTATTTGAGCTTAAGATATGATTTTTAATAGTAAGAGGTGATCCAGTCAGAGACAATAAAGGTTATTGTCCTGTGTTCATCACAGTAGGTATGGAGTGAATGAAGGGATGCTTCCAAGGCTTCCTGGTTTAGGGCTGGACAGCTGTTGGAAAGCCTTAACATTTCCCTGCTTTTGAGACTGGTATATAAACTAAAGTCATTTTTCACGGCTTTTTGTAGTACTCATTTAAAATATATGTCCAACTTCATATTCCTAAATACATGAAGTGCTAGGAAAGCTATACTGGTAGGAAGTACTTGGAGGGGAAAAAAAAAAAAAGAAAAAAAGGAGACAGCATTTATGTTAACAACACAAACTCAACTATAAGAAGTAGATATCAGGAGAATATTTTACCACATCAAGCAAATCAGTCATTGGTGCATTCCTCTATGTATTGTTCTGAAGTCATGTAAACTCTGTACTTCTTAATCAAGATGGAAAGTTCTCTAGCCAAAGTCTTTGTTTAGTCTTACTTCATTACCAAAGCAAGCAAAAACAAAGGCTGGTGTACAGTGGAAGTGACTTGAAATTTTTACAAGCATTTACTTCTTAAACTGATGTACTATGTGACCTCTTCATTTGACTTAACATGTACTTATGAGCCAATCAGTGGTAGTAGCCAGAAAAGAGCTGCTGATATTAATAATGTTTACATTCCATTTTAGCTTTTGAAAGCAAGTTCTCATCTGACATAATAATAGGAATTGCTAACTCATGGATCTTAAACTACACAGAATTTAAGCGTGTTACTTATTCTGGTGCTATGTCCAAAGAGGAGCAATAGGACTCTACTGTCACAGAATTCCTGAATAATGTAACTCTCTGGATGTGGAAAGCAGTGATGCAGCCAAAGCCTACAGTGTCATTAGAGTATCTCAGGTGTGGATTCAAATATTCTTGTGCCCTCCTAATGGAGCAATGGAGTAGGGCACCAGAATAAATACTCCCAGTCCAATAGAGGGGGACTCCATACACCATGTTCTCTTCTGCCTGTGAAATGTGGCATCTCTGGTTGCTACTGATCAAGATGTATGTGGTGTATGTTCTGGTCTGCAACATGATATTACAAATATATGTGATCCTCTTATCCAGAAATTTGTTCTTCCCTGTTCAGAGGATTTCATCCTTCCACAGAATTTTTCCTTGCTATATCTCCATACCAGGCAGAAAGAGAAAGAAACAAAAATCTTGAAATTTAAATCAATGAGGAAAAAAAAAAAAAGACACTGAAGAATCCACTGCCTCTCAGCAAAATGCTGACTTCTGAGAAGCATTGTCAGTCTATCTGTATTCATATAATCATAGCATGATGTGCAAAGATGTCTGGATATTAGGTGCTTCCTGCCTGCTTAAAAACTTGAAGAAAGCAGTTTGAAAGCTGGTGGAGTGATGGGTTTCCATGGTACAGAGCTACTATTTGGTTAACAAAATGAGTAAGTTCAATTTGAATATCAGAAAGAAAATTACATCCATTTTTTATAGTGTCTCTTTCAGAAGTAGTATTTAATGTTAAGTCTTTACATAATAAATGTTAAAATACCTTTTCTATTATACAAAGTGCTTAAAAACGTTCTAGTGCAACCAGAAGTCTACACCTAATTTCATGCATAAATTCAGAAGAGAATTGGGGAATAGAGAAACTGTTCAAAATCTCCAAGACAGACTGGTGGACTGCAGGGTAGAATAGAAAACTGTGTCCTTCATCGTCAGGAACCACTGTAAGTGTGTTTGTGAAGTTACAGGAGGACCTTGGGACCAACAAGGAAGGTGGGCCTATTGTGTTAGTGAGCACCCAGGATGAGCAAAAGACTTGAAAATGAAAAATGCAGATGCATTTTGTAGAGGATCACAGGGAAGGCTTTCTTTGTTGTTGAATACTAAAACATGCTCCAGTTGGAGTGTCGTGAAACAATCAGAAAAACTCCAAACTTTGAGCTGGAAATTAGTATTTCAAAACATTACTGTAAGCAATTTTAAAGCCTGCTTTTTGAATTGAGTCTCTATTCTGAGATATAAGCTGTATTCCTTCTTAAAAAACAAACAAACAAACAAACAACAACAACAAAACAAGCTGACACAGAGCTATGAGTTTTCTAAATTAAATCAAGATGGATGTTTTTTACCTTTGCCTTTTTTCGGGGTGTTGATGAAGGTTTATTTTCACCTTTTCTTTTTGAGGAATTACCCTTTGGCTGAAGAGGGGCTTTCTCATCAGTCTCATCTTCTTCTGATGAATACTCCTCTTCAGAAATTTCCCCTGTCTCACCATGACTGTCCTGACCTTTCCTGAGCATAGTTTCCTCAATTGTTCCAACTTTCTTATTTTTTACCAATATTTTGAACTTTAATGCCTGTAGAAAAGATATTAAATAATAGTAACTAGAATTATGTGTGGATGAATTGTAGGTCTTCATATCTAGTCATATCAAGATGTCTTGTTTAACCCTCTTTCAAACCTGTGTATTATATATAATGAAGTGAGGTAGCACAAAGCAGTCAATGCAGTTATAAATGATGCAGGTTTCAAAAGCAAACAAAACAAACAAAAACAGACTGGGGATCTAAGTAAATAATTGAATGTGAATATCTAACCACACAACAGGGAAAAAAAAATCACCACACAGATATTGAAACTATGATCAAGATTAAGGTAAGAAGTATCAGAGGTGATGACCAGTTAAAACATAAGAATTCTATTTATTTATTTATTTATTTATTTATTTTACTAAGCATTAATTCATTTTTATATGTAGACATATAAATATTTATTTTACCTTCATTTGAAGATGTATTTTTTTTATCCTAACTGCTAAAATCTGCTGTTTGATTAGTACATTAGTGCATATCTATTTAACACATTAATTTAAAACTTTTGGTATTATGTTATTGTTGTTGAGAATAGAGTCATGCTGAGCTTACCTATTCAGGCAAATTAACAGAGCTTGGTAATTTGTTGCCTGAGGGTTTTCTCTGTTTTATGTCATATTTAAATGGACATGTTTCATATGAAGCTGAGAGGACTGAGATTACTATCACTTTTGCTAGAGAAAGTAAAGACCTCTAGTCCAGTAGTTAGTCATCTATCAATAGGGGTTTTCAGAGATTATTAACTTGGAAGTAGAATTTTTAACAGCATCTTACTCAACCAGCATAGTGCTTTGAAAAACTATACAAATCTTTATAACCGTTAGTAAGTTGAATGCTGAAGATATCTCTCATTTTTTCTCTGTACACAATTACTATGGTGTTGCACAGCTTTTCTTAAAAAGAATCATCTGAGTATCCAGACATGGATATGGGGAAACATTCTGTAATTAAATGAATAGCTAGTTCACAGCATATAGTGCTCAAATCCATGAGTTCTGGGGAGGAAAGAAGAAATAAAAGAAAACAAACTACAGTAATATTAAACCTAAGCTTGTTATTTGAGAAGACTGAACGTTATCTTTTTAGACAGTCATGAAGAGGAATATTTGCATTAGTATGTATATAATTTGATTAAGTTTGGATGAAATATAGAATTATTCAAATGATCATTTCTTTTTCTTTATTATTTTTTTTTATCTAGTAAATTTTCACTAATTGAATAACAAAGTATTTTTTCACTAGTAAGATCACTAATTCCATAATGAGGGACTTGGGAAAAATGTCATTAATATTTATTTCCAATAACATGTCTTTCATCTATGCCTCTGATACTTATAAATATGAATCTCACTTATGAAATAATCTTCACTGTAAAACAGCAGTTATGTAGTAGACATTCATCTTTACCTCTGTATACAAGAACTGTCAATGAGTACCATAACTTATTCAGGTTCTTGGATAAAGTGATGCACAAAATTATTCCTTAAGACTCAAATGCAATAGTGAAAAGGAAGGCTATACTGTGGGAAAGTTATAGAAACAAGGAACGAACACATTAAATAAAGGATAACTGAACTTACATGTGTGGCAAATATCACGTTTTAACATATCCATTGAATACATACGAAAAACTTGAATGATAGAAGCATACATGTAAAAATGAAGTTTTATAATAGAAATGAGACATGTGGGGAATGAAATTGACATTCCATTTATTTAAATTGCTGTCCTCATTGCTGATAGTCTCCTTATCCCTTTAGATCCAGTATTATTAGTTCATCACTGTGCCAGTGGAATGAGATATCCTATGCTTAATATCTATCAATGTCATGCTAGTGTAAGATTTGATTAGTCTCTCTGCATGGGTGATTCAGAATAAGGATGCCCTTTAACACTTCCTTCATTTCTTATTGATGCACCCATTCTTTTTCTGTGATATTTTTAGAAGAGTTTTAATATAAGCAGTATTTCTTAAATTTTAAAGAGTTCTGAATTTTCTTTTGTATATTTTTATGTCCCAATATTTAAAAGCTATTCTATCCTCATTTGATCTGTTGTTTTGATCATAGGTAAGATTTACTTCTACAAATCAAAAATTCCTGGTATATAAAAAAAAGAAAAACTTTTCCATGGATATATTAATGACTACTGTATGTAAATTTGCTTTAAGTAAAGAAAGACCATAGGCTGGGTCATCAGATAAAAAGTAGCCATGAAGTTTTGAGGCAAATAGTTTCTAAATTTGCTTTGAAATTTTAAGGCACATAGTTTCCAAAATTATTTATTTATTATTATGGAAAATAGGTAAATACCCTGAGGTAGAAAAAAAAATGTAAAGTTAACATTTTAAAATCATAGTACTCTTTTCAAAAACAGTTACAGAAAATACTGTAGCAAGAAGAATTGTTTTTCTAATTTGGGGCCAGAAGCAGATTCCAATAACAGTTAACCCATACCATTAAAAATCGAACATGAACTGAAAAAGACATGCCAGACATTTTAAGTCTGAAATTCTAATAGATCTTCAAAAGAACTTATAAAAAATGTATGGTTACAAAATCAGAGACTATGTGAAATTTGAGTCCTTTAGTTGGCAATCAGCAGTGATAAACATTTAGCATCTTTTTGAATAACTGTGTCTTGAATCTTTTTAGCAGATAATGAGCTGAAAATCTGAAGACCCACTTTTTTAATTTGAATGTAAGACACAAAATGTTTTTAAAATACACTTTTACTATCTATGAATTTATAAACTGTAAACATATTTTAAAAAATATATATATATGTAAAACATTATAAATCTTCCTTAGAGCATAATGGGCACTTGAAGACTGGCAAAAGTAAACCTCCAGGTACAATCAACTGGGAAAAAATATTTAAATACTTAAATACTTAAATCAAGAAAACTTAGTTCTTGTACTAAATATGTTTTCTGGTAAATTCAATGTACAACATAAATCAGAACTGTTGAACACAATACGCCAAGAAAAATTTACAAACACTTGGAATGGATCAGACAAACTCACTTACTGACTACTGCAATTAATGTTTACATTAGGAGCAAAAATTCAGTACTCAGAAACACACAGAACAAAACTTGGAATTATGACATAAGTATAAAAAGAGAAGTAGAGCTTCTTCTATTTATATTCAGCATGTCCTCTGTTCGTTACCGATCAACTTTCCGTGCTTAGAAGGAGAATATCAAATCTTGAAAATCTTGCTAAGTAACAAAGTTAAAATCAATTTAAAGTTGCAGATAAAGTTTTATTTTCAAGTGTTATATTACTGGTTTAAATACTGATACAAGGTAAAGATGGGACACCTTTCACAAAGCCTAACATGGAGGAAGCTTTTGAGGCATTGACAATGTTTATCTTGAATCAAAATAACAGGACACTATTGTTAAGTACAACTGTTACACAAACAAAAAAATCCAGAATTTTTTGATGATTCTGGAAGAGAATTACATTAGTAATTCTACTAATTAGTAAAATTGTGAATGGATGTCTTCGTGGCAGCCTTATAAATCCCAGTAATCAAGATATTTTAAGCCAAAACTACCAGTAAAGTCTGAGCTCTGAGATTAAGGGATATATCAGGAGCACCTCCTAGCTATCTTCTATCAAAACCACCATTTGATTTGGATCTTGAAGAACATTGAAATGTGAATGTAAGTAGGAAGCCATATATGAGCTGCATGAACCCCTTGATTGGATGAGCAAAATTAGGAACAACAGTAGCTAACTATTAAGGAGGATTTCCACACTAGCAAGTTAATGTTTCAGGCTCATGAGATGGATAGAAGCTGTTACTGAAGGTCCTTGCAAAAGAAATCTGAGAGATAAGAGAAGCAGGTCTGAATTAGTTAGTCCTGAGTCAAATTTCTGAGGGATCCTATAGGTTCTACAAACACATTGTTAAAAAGCATGGCAAAGACAAGAGGTGATCTGTTAATAAGCTAAATTAGAGAATTAGAGTGCATAACCTTTTTTTTTTTTTTTTTTTTTTTTTTTTTTTTTTTTTTTTTACTGTATTTTATATTTCTTCCTTTTTATTCCTATGTTTAATGGAAGTTACAGGTTAATATCTAAATACAGATGAGTTACCCAGGAAAGTTTCAAAAGAAGAAACTGATTTCAAAGCTTTTCCTTCTCACTGGATACAAATATAATTATGAATATGCATTAAGCATTTGGTAGTAAAAGTACTCAACTAGGCAGAAACACCAATTCTCTTGACTGCATAATTTCTAGTGATTTTTTTGCCAGGTGAGTTGTTTGGTCTATTACATTATATTCAGTTTCTAAGCAAGTGTATTTGTTGTACTTGAGCCATGCTAATGAACACTCTTATCACTCTGTTGAATCAGTTTCATATCTGAGCAACTATAGTGAACTTTAATCACCCTAATACTTAATACATTTTATTACACTTTTATTAGAAATCGGAAGATTGTCAGGCTTAAAGAACAGTGCTTTCTGTTACCTGTGTTAACAATTCTGATCCAATTTACTTCCTGGCTTTACTAGCTGGCTTCCTACAGAATTGTGCGCCAGATGAAATAGATAAAAGTAGAACAGTAACTGATATAGGAGACAAACAGACCTTTATTATATTAACTGAGAATTTCTCCCACCAAGAGCAGTTTCAATTGGTTGTTTCTGGTTCCATAAGATCTCTTTTGTACTGCTTAAGAAAAGCAGACTTAAAACCAAGAATCTGTCTCACTCAAAGGATAATGAATTTACCTAAGCTTTAAATGTGCACAAGGTCCCTAGTTTTACAGATATGATTCAACTACTTCTTTTGAATGTGGACTAAAAGTGTTTCTTCAAAAAGATGCTAGCCAAAAGTTAAATTTACTATTCAGTTTACAAATTCAGTCTTCTACTGGAGAATAGAATTCTAATACTTTTTCTCATGTGATCAGAGCACCTAAGTGAAATGTAGATGGCCCTATTCTTTGCTCATTATCAACATTATGGTTTAATAATTTCAGACTTCAGAAAGTCATCTGAGGACACTGGTATTATTCAGGTAACTCTTACCGTGGAATACATATCACATAACTGTAAAACATTAAAGTTTCAGTAGAATGAATCTCACCTAAACGGCATACCTTTAAGTGAGGAATAAGTATGGAATCCATTAACTCATGTTCAGACACATTCTACAGAGCTGACTTATGAAAAACTTTAAGCTATGGATAAATTAAGTATGCATTGTCTATATAACAATAAACATCTTGTAAGGGACATATCCCATGGAAATAATATTTGTGGTATGCAATGCAGTGACTCCATGATTCAGATGCAGTACACTGATTCTGAACTACAGAAGACATATGGTCCTTGTACAACAACTAGACTGAATGTAGCTATGCTTTGAGGTGCTTTTAAGCAAACATGCAAAGAATAAAGTCCTGCACTTGGAGAGGAACAAGCCCAGGCACCGGTACACACTGGGGGCCACCCAGCTGGAAAGCAGTTCTAGAAAAAAGGAGCTAGGGGTCCTGGTAGACACCAACTGAACATGAGTCAGCAATGTGCCCTTGCTGCTAAGAGAACTAATGGTATTCTGTACTGCATTAGGCAAAGTATCACCAGTAGGTCAAAAGAGATGATCCTTCCACTCTACTCAGCATTAGTAAGGTCACACCTGGAGTACTGTGTCCAGTTCTGGGTCCAGTACAAGAGACATAGACATACTGGAAAGAGTCCAACGGAGGGCTACCAAGATCATCAGGGAACTGGAACACCTCTCCTATGAGGAGAGGCTGAGAGGGTTGGGATTGTTCAGCCTGGAGAAGAGAAGTCTCAGAGGGGATCTCGTTTTTTCATATAAATACCTAAAGTAATGAGACAAAGAAGATGGAGGCAGGTTCTTTTCAGTGGTGCCCAGTGCCAGGACAAGGGTCAATGGGCACAAACAGGAAGACAGAACCTAAACATCAGGAAGCACTTTGGTGCTATGCAGCACTGACAGGCTGCCCAGAGAGGTTGTGGAGCTTGGAGATCTTCAAAAGCTGCCTAGACATGATCCTGGGCAACTTGCTCAAGGTGGGTTGGACCAAATGGTCTTCAGAGGTCCCTTCCAACCTTAACAATTCTGTGATTGTGTGATTCCTTGATTAATACAGTGTATTTTTTTCCAATTTATAGTACTGATTACCAGGTTGCAATGTGAGATTAGACACTGATATAAAAATAGTTTGCTAGAATAAAAATAAACATAAACATAAACAAACATAAAAATAGTAAAAATAAAAATAAATAAAAAGGCTGCTTTATGAGAAATTTATTAAGATAAACTAAATATATTTAAGCCAACATTGTTATGAAATATTGCACTATCCTAATATTTTAGCAAATCTTTCAGAAACACCACTTAAAAAATGTTTTTTTCCCTGACAAAAACGTCACCAAAATACATCTCTGTGTGTGCTGTCTTTCCTTGAGAAAGTGCTTCTTCCCCATTTTGAAATAAAACATTTAGTTACTGTAAAAAACTGCTGAAAATATATCTTATATCTCTGATAAGAGTGACAATTCCAAATAATTATTTTGTATGCATATATTTGTGTTATAGAACATTAAAAAAATCTTATGCCCTTGAAAGAAAATTAAGTGCAAAGACTGGAACAATGGGAATTTATTTGTTTTAGCTTGCAATTAAATTTTCAACACCCATCTAATTGCCTTTTCTGACTTCATATCCCAGGGGTCTCAAGGCACCAGCTGAGAAGCACTGCCTTAGGGTGAAACACAAAAAGAAAAAGAAAATGTTTTTACAGTAACAGAACTCAATGAAAAGGTTCCACCAACACTTTTGTCAACAGAGAATGTGGATTTAAATTTTCATTTCTGTAACATCTTTAAAATTCAAGGTGTTTTTTTTTTTCAATCTAAGGAATTAAAATAAATTAGCAGATAACAGATACGACAATACATATAAAGTGAAGATTTTTGGTTTTTGTTTTAAAGCACAGTGTTGTTTTAAAATTTTCATTTTGTCTTCTCTTTTAGACCTTTAAAACACTAGTTTTTGATATTCAGTTTTATTCAGCATGAGTGTAGTTCACAACAAGACACATTAGAGCTGCCATGTTTCCATATAAAATAAAATGTAACCCACAAACTTTAGGTAACTATACTTGAATATGTTAAAATTAAATGTATCCAAAGCACCAGAAATTGGATTCATGTGAATTGCAAGGCTTTGCAAAAAAAAAAAAAAAAAAAAAAAAAAAAAAATTAGTACATTAGTGGCTTCCATATCTATCTGTACAATGTATGTTTGCTCTTTCCAAAAATAAAGAAATTTTTTTTAAAAGTTACATTTTTGTGATGTTCAAATTTTTATTTATTTTTTACCATATCAAATCCATTCAGATAGCAGATGAGCAATTTCAGAAGAGTTAAAAGAAAAGGAGGAGTGGGCAGAGGTCAGGAAGCTGTTTTTTTTTTTTTTCCATCATATACAAAAAAAAAACCATGATGTTATTACCTCAGGAGAAGGTAGTTGAGTCACCACTGAATCACCAATTGTTGAAGTAAGAAGTTTGTCACCTAGAATATCTTCTAAATGTTTTGCCATAACTTCCTGTTGCTTAGTGCTGCAGTGATTCTCTAAAGACAGTATAACTGGATACTCAGATGCCTGAAAAATAGAATTTGAAATCTATTATGATTAACAAATAAAAAAGGACTTCTTGATTCCCCAAAATATCTTACAAAAAGCCCTTTTGTAGTAATTTGTATTTTTCTTTGTTTCCAAAATATGTCAGTTGTTTCACATTAGTAGCACAATAAAAATCTCACAATATTTATGGAAAAGAGAAAGCACAGTTGAAACAGTAACTGTAAGTTCAGAGAAGAGAAAAAAATGGATCCTCAGGAAGTTAGGGGGAGTTGAATAAAAAGGACAGATCTACAGAGAATCAAATGAAGATTGGTTAAGTACACAAAACATTAAAGAAACCACACAGTATCTATGTTGACCTTTGGGAAGTGTATATTGAAGTGTATTTCTTCAATAATCAATAGAAAATAACTTATCAGAGGCATTTCACACATTGACTAATATTGAATGTGAAGAAATTAGTGAGAAAATAAGTGTTAAATCAGGCAAAAATCAGGCTGATTCAATTCCACAGAGCAGACTACACGATGATAGCAGAAAGCAACATTTCTCACAGAAGTAATTACTCAGCTGATACAAAGAGCTTCCAAAGAAAGATACATTGGTTGCTGTGTGCCTGGAACAGCTTTTCTCAAGAAATGAATTTACAAAGAAAAAAGAGAAATAACACCGTCATCTGAAGGAAAAAAAAAAAAAAAAAAAAAAAAAGGAATTATCATATTGCTTAGATGATTTTTTTTTAGAAGCAATGACCATGTAATGTTAAAAGTAATTTTATGAAGAAGAAACAAGCCACAAGGAAAATAGAAATCAAAATGACTGCAATTTTCATGTGCATATGTATATATATCCACACACATAAGTAAAGGTGACCAGAATGCGAGTTATCTTTACTGTGTTTCAGAACTTCATTTGAAAAGAAGTTTTGCTCAAAACCTATATAAGAGATTGAGACAATATGAAAAGATCTCAAGCTTTTGCTGCTTTGCCAGAGATGGACAGAAGGGGCACTGACCTAATGAGTCTTACAAAAAGATGTTTATCAGGCCTTGAAGTCAAAATAAAAGAGTAAATGTAAACACATAAAATCTCAACCACAGCTGTAGTTTAGCATTTTTCTCTGTTTTATAAATTCAAACATAGGATATAAGAAAGAGTGACAGCAACGGAAGAGTAAGTGAAATAAAGGAATTAAAAGATATCAGGAAAGAAAGCAAAACATTAGACTGACTTGGAAGTAGTTGTATAGTTTATATTCAGTCCTTGCTTAAATGATCTCAGGTGAGAATTCTACATAACAAACTGATTAAGATCTTCTAAATTCCTTGCACCAAGCTTGATTTAAAATCAAGATCAGCAAAATGCTTTTATCTTTCATTTATATACAGATTGCACAGCTTTTCCATAATTTACTTCAGTGATGCCCACTCCACAAGCACTGCCTCATTTTGTTTTGTTTTGTTTTGTTTTGTTTTTTACCCTGTAGAATATCAGACAGCGAGCATTTAATAAAGCAGGCTTTATTAAAACCACCATAGCATATACATACACAGCATAACATACGTATACATACCGCAAATGCATACTTGTCTATCACATGAATTACAGAAGAAAATGAAATTTTGCTCGTTAAAGTATGACCATGATACACAATAGGTTCATTGTTTGAGCCATCCCAGCAATCAATTTCCAGGCAACGACATCCTTTTAAGAGAGCACTTCAAAAGAGTAAAAGAAATAATTTTATGGTTAAAAGGAAAATACCACACTTTAATATATGTCCCCATATTCCAAGCACATTGAATAATTACAAATATACTAGTCTACCATAAGAAGATGGAAATTCAATGAAATTATAAAAATATTAGACAGAGCTATATTTTCTGCTGTTTATCTTAGGGATGTTAGATAACACAATTTATTAGAGCATTAAGGAGGAAGATACATTATCTGATTATCCTTCACTAAGGGAATAAAAAAGAGAGTCAAAGTTTTACAGAAAGACTTTGGAATGCTGGTAAATGGTTGCTTAGAATAAAATAAGAAATGGTTGAAAGGACTTCATATTTATTATTATTCCATGACTTTTCTGAAGGTTTGAGAGCTGTTATACTTAAAAATACCAGCATATCAGCATCACATTAACAAAGTCAGGTTGTGCTTGGCTGTTATGTAATTTAGTTGTTCTCCTCACACCTAGTTTCTAAGTTTCTAAGAGGAAGAGCTAAAGTTTCCTCAGTATCTTAAATTTACTGTTTGCATTTTTAATAAGTTAATGGCATCCCTTACATGTCTTGGGTTTCTAATACTTGGCTTGCTACCAATTTAAACATTTCTTGTAGACTGTTTTACCTTATTACTAACCTGTGCTTTACATGCTGCCCTTTATACGCTGAGTATCTTAAATATGCTTCTAGCTGGATATGCTCTAATTTATCATTTTATGCTTTCTTTACACCAATAAGTAGATAAACTGTAAGTGATTGGCTTTTATATCATATTTGCAATTATTTTAAACAATATAGTATTTACCTCATATCATTTTAAATACTTCTAGAAACAGATTCACTAAGGTTTCTGATGGTTGCAAGCCATCAGAGAATTCTAGACAGCAACCAAAAGACAAAAGTTCAGTTGACTGTTTCCAACTGCTTTCACTTCACTGAAGTAGTACAAAGTTATAGGAATGCTGGACACCTGTCTTCCAGATCTTCGTATTTTCTGTCTCTGTTTTGCCTTTAATACATAACCCTTTTACTACCTCCCTGTTTGTTTTGTCTAAATGCACCTTGGCCATAAGGCATTCTGGTTTCCTTCTCCTCTTGGAGTCATATGCTGCACATTCAAACCCTCAAACCCTCATGGCTATTATAGTGCCCACACAACTCCTCCCACCCACCTTTTGTTGTTGTTGTTGTTTTGTTTTTGTTTCTGTTTTCTTAACTGACTTCATTGCAATGAACAGTAATCACACATAACCTTGACATACTCAGAGTGTGCCTTCTATATTGATCGGAATAGAGTTGGCCCTGGAATTTTACATTTATTTCAGGAAGTTTGTAATTTTTGCATGGTATGTTGAGATTAAAAACTGGTTTAATCGTATACTGTGCTGAATACTATAGATTTAATTTGCTTTGAGGTAGATGTTATGTACTGTAAGTGATAAAATAGATTGTTTCCAGACTACAAACAGATGGCCTGGCAAATATACTGAAAAGTTTACACAAAAAATAAAATACCACTCTCTCATTTTCCACTTTTGTCTGTGATTATTTTGTCCTTTATTGCCAAACAGCATTACATGTGAGTTCGTATTAATTTTAAAAAAGCCTAAGAATGTTAACAATATTGAAAAACAACATCTAAATACCTGATATATCCAAATAAATCACTGGGCCCTATTAGTTGGTCAGATATCAAGTAGGTGTTATGAGAAGATGAAATAAAATAGTCACATAATGGGTGGTTCATATCTTGGTAGACAGTCCGGTGATCTTTTTTAAATATCGAACAATCTTCTGAGCTCATGTACCTTATAAATCCTTCAAATGATAACTGCCTTCTTTTCCTCACTGGAAAAAAAAAGGAAAAGAAAGAAGGGTGTGAAGCCAGCCAAACGGATAGTTTTATGTATCTCTGTACTTTCCATAATTTTTAGTAGCCAATTCTGAACTTAGTTAAAGGTTATACGGCATAACACTTTCCTGCTATTTTAAAATTCATGACAAACAATATGAAAATAAACATCAGATGTGTACAATTCTGGAGCTGATTCGGTTCTAAATTAGCAGATGAAATAAATGTGTACTCATGTTTTTGTTCTTCTATGGACATCCAGAAGAAGATATTGCAACAGTTCTAATTAAATGTACAGGAAAATATTTGTTGTTGTTTAGTTTTGGAAGGTAACATGCCAGTCAGTGAACAAATAGATTTTTTTCTCAGTAGGAAAAAAAAAAATGTTCTCCAAAATGTCAGTCAGAGCCTGTCAAAATAATCTTGCAGAAACTATGATTCCTAGTACCAACCATCTTCAATGGTGGAAAATCCCAAACAGATAATGATTAAATAAAATTTTAATTAGAAGTATTTGAAATAAAAATAGCACCTTAACAAAATAAATGCCCACAAAAATGCATTGGAAATCAAGCTTATTATATTACTGCATCTACAACAAATTGTGTTAATTGCCTTCATATGCATGATAGTCATCCCATTTGTTTTGTTTCTTTTAACTGATTTAATGACAAACAGATCCATTATACTGCCAACTGCTGCTGCAATGTCATGCTTCAAATGTAATAATTTTGCAAATGATATAATCTCAAAAGTCAGCTTTGCTTCAAAACACAATCTAGTGTGAATTAGTCAGTGATTGTGTCCAGTTCTGGCTGGAAAATAACCTTATTTTTTTCACCATAGTAGGATAGCGATATTTAAGCACTAAGTAATCAGACATTACTTTATGCTAACAATAATTTAAAGAGATCAATCTACGCAAACTTTTGCTAAACAAACAAACAAACAATCTGAGCTGTTAAATTTCAATACAGCTATTAAGAGTCATGATTTACAGGTTACAGTTGTAATTAACAATCTTCAGTATCACTCTGACTATAAGTTTTATATCTGAATAAGAATTTACTAACATTGTTAGTAAATGTTAGATGGCAACACAAAGAAAATAATTGTTTCTAAATTACACAATTTTTGATCTTTGCAATGTTTTAAAATACTAAGCAGTAGTAGAAAATAAAGATGAAGTCTCTCCAGAAGTCATGTGTATTTGCATACATGTATTGTTGTGCTTAACCATACAAATATGCAGGTTGGAACTAGATGATATTTAAGGTCCCCTCTACCCCAAGATGTTCTATAATGATTGAAATGTTATTCCTGCCAGAAGTCTGTCTAAGCTGTTCTTAAAGACCACCATCGACAAAGAGTATACAGACTTCCTGGGAAACCATTTCAGCACCTAAGTAACCTTACTGTTAGGAAGTTTTCGATATTTTCCCTGAAATTCCTTAGTGTCCAATATGTTTGTCCTGTTTTGTACTATTTCTTTCAGTTTCTTTCAGTCTCTTATACAAAAGAGACTGTTACACGTCCCCTCATCTGTTTTCCAGAAGAAACAAATCCAATTCACTGCATTTTTCTGACTTTAGTTAGGCTTTCTTAAAATTCTGAGAGTTTTCATGTTCTTCTTCACCTCTTTCCAATTGGTGAATTAAGAAGGATTTCTTAATGCTGATGCCTGAAATAGAATGTAGGATTTTTTTATTTTTTTTTTTTAGATCATCCATTTGTAAAGATGATAAATCTAAATTTAATATGACTTTCTATTCCATCATCTAGCTCATCAATGACATTGAAGTCTGGATCCTAACACAATGCTCAGTGAAACTGCAGATTGATGTAGCCTTTCATTTTGATGCCAAATCTTTGATGACTAACTTCTGAGAGTAATTTTCTAATGAGTTCTTTATATACCATATAGACATTTTGCCAGCTTCCTCAACTTGCTTTTTATAATGTAAGAATATTAAAAAGTATGATTTTTCCCTTATTCACTAGTGCTGTTATTCTCTCATAGAAGGAATTTGGATACAGTTTCTTTATGGACTATCCCTACTATCCCTTATAGAGGGATATTATATGAGAGGTTATTATATATTCATCATTTGTTTCATTTGTCTAGTTCCATGTTTTTTCTCTAAAACAGATATTACACTTGATTGTTCCCAATCCATCTTCCATTCTCCATGTGTTTTCAAAGGTAAGCTCTTATAGCTTTTTACAGTCAATTTTCTAACTCAAGGACTTGTCAACTTCTCTTCTCTGATCTGACTAAGTCATTTTAACATGCCCCACTCTTCTTTTTCCATAGTTTTGACTGAAATCTTACTGTGGTCTCATTAATAGTAATAGCCACCTGATTGTACTCAGGTAGTGGATCAAGTATTTCCTTGGTCTTTCTTTTAACTGACATATTTACAGAATTACCCTGATGTCTATTGATAGTTATATCTTGTTTAGCATCTTAACTGTTTCGATATACCCACATGTTCATGTTATATTGTTTTAGGCATAGCAATAGGATTAAGTTTCTACTTTCTGGGTCTCTAAGAAATGGAGGGAGGGGGGTTGTTTTTGTTGTTGTTTTTTACATATTGCTCAAAATAGAATACGATCAAGCTGCTTGTTTTATCTGTTGTGTATTACATGAATACTAGACTTAATTCCTTTGAAGAGAAAGTTTTTCATCAACAGCATTTGATTTTAATTACTATTTATTTTTCATGCCATATATTGTTCTCTGTGAAACTGCAAGTTGTGCAACTGCTTTTTTTCATTTTTTATTTACTAATGTATACATATATTTACAGTAATCTTTTAAATTAATGAAAAATAATGAGTTTCCAAGTTTGGGGTTATTTTCTTAATTATTTTTAATAATTTTTGGCTAGTCTTGTCATTAGTAAGTCTTCTCATGAAGAGAACTTATGTTTACATAAATACCATCATGACTACAATCCCCTAAAAGTGAAAATATTACTTTGTAAGTTAAATTTGTTTTACTTTGTTAGCCAGCATATAAGCTCTTTGGCTTCAAATTTCATTTTATTTCTGTAATCAATAGACTAAATATGTGTATATAATTATTTATTTATTTTTATAGCTTATTACACTTATTACAGCCCTTGAATTACGTTGTTTTACAGCTTTTTTTTCCAGGGTTGGTAGTTGCTGTCTTTGAATAGCATACAATTAAAGTCATGTTTCTGAGGAACTACCAAAACTCCAAGCAACTTTGTAAATCAGTAAGACCTATCTGTAAGCAGGAAGAAAGTGGCTCTGCATCTAGCAAATCTGGCAGCATATATGCAAAAGAGCATCATGTGAACATAAATGGCATTCCATCTGCTAAAACAAATTTTCAGAGAAGACCTGATGTAAAAGATGACATAGTTTTTAGAGCTGAAGATAAAAGAAGGCTTATTTTTTTATTATTGCTGCCATTACTTCGTACCTCTTTTACCAGTGGAGGAAAACTACTGGCTTTCTTTAGAACCTTGCCTGATGAAGATACCAAAATTAGTTACGGCTGGAAGGGGCTGTTTTTAAGTTTTGATGAACAGCACAATCATATTAATTTCTGACCATTTACTGCTTCTACATTAAGAGAAATGGGAATACATCTTAAGAAGTATTCCACAGTGAAAAAATACTTCAATCAAGGCCTTATGTGTCTCCTCTAGAGGAACTACAGCCTTTATCTCCATTAAGATCCTTTAGTACTAATTAGCAAACACACATATATTTGGTGCTGAAATAAAAAGTGAAAGCAAGAAAAGATTTGTCTTCTTGCAGCTTCTTATTTACAAAGGTCAGTGTTTTTCTATTCCCTTCCCCTTTGGATAGTCTGAAATACAATGTTCTTATATATATATTAAAATAGTTTGGTTTTTTTCCCCCTATTCTTCCAGTTAAGGTAAATTTCAGCACTGCCATATACGTAAATAGAGATATATTAGAGAGGAATTATAGACATAGTCTGAGTATTTGAGAAACATATTAAATTACCTGCCTATGCTTTTTAGAGTTTATTACCTTATGCTTTCTTAATTATTTATTTTAGAACTTCTTTGAAAGCATTTTTCTTTCTTTGTGGAAGAAAGAAACATCTTTCATAAGATGTTTGGCAAATATTGCTAAAATACTGTATTTATCTGTACTGGATGTAGATAGCACACTTACAAAAAAAAAAAAAGTTAAAAAGAGCATATAACTTAGAAACAAATATTTTTGAAATTAATAAATACATCCTAGATCACACAAATTGTTTATCTGATAGGCGTGTGATCACACAAATTGTTTATCTGACAGGTGTGTCAAGCTTACACAATTATATACAAAGCAAGCATGTTTTTAAGGCAGAATTGTGATTTTGACCTGGTTTTGTACTTCCCAGAAAGGAAATACACTGATAGGAGCAGAGTCTTTGAATGGCACTACTCTGCAAATATGAACAGAATGCACCTTCCAAGTGTCACTGCACCTTTCATCCCACCCATGTAAATATTGAATAAATAGCAACAATCAACCGCATGAAGTTCAATAAGAGCAAGTGCCGGGTCCTGCACCTGGGACGGGGAAACCCTGGCTGCACGTACAGACTGGGCGATGAGACGCTGGAGAGCAGCCTAGAAGAGAGGGATCTGGGGGTCGTGGTAGACAGCAAGTTGAATATGAGCCAGCAGTGTGCCCTGGCAGCCAGGAGGGCCAACCGTGTCCTGGGGTGCATCAAGCACGGCATCGCTAGTAGGTCGAGGGAGGTGATTGTCCCGCTCTACTCTGCGCTGGTGCGGCCTCACCTCGAGTACTGTGTGCAGTTCTGGGCACCACAGTATAAAAAGGACATGAAACTGTTGGAGAGTGTCCAGAGGAGGGCTACGAAGATGGTGAAAGGCCTGGAGGGGAAGACGTACGAGGAACGGCTGAGGGCACTGGGCCTGTTCAGCCTGGAGAAGAGGAGGCTGAGGGGAGACCTCATCGCAGTCTACAACTTCCTCGTAAGGGGGTGTCGAGAGGCAGGAGACCTTTTCTCCATTAACACCAGCGACAGGACCCGCGGGAATGGGGTTAAGCTGAGGCAGGGGAAGTTTAGGCTGGACATCAGGAAGGGGTTCTTCACAGAGAGAGTGGTTGCACACTGGAACAGGCTCCCCAGGGAAGTGGTCACTGCACCGAGCCTGACTGAATTTAAGAAGAGATTGGACTGTGCACTTAGTCACATGGTCTGAACTTGGGTAGACCTGTGCGGTGTCAAGAGTTGGACTTGATGATCCTTAAGGGTCCCTTCCAACTCAGGATATTCTATGATTCTATGATTCTATGAATTAAAAAACAAGCAAACAAACAGCAAAAAAAAAAAAAACAAAAAGCTGTGCAAAACTTTAGAAAGATAAAGTGGATGGCATAACATGGTTTCTTTAATCTCACTTAATTAGCTGAGACTTCTATATGAAATTAATAATAAAATGGAGAAAGATCAATGTTTGTGTAGAACAAAATTGACATTTGGATTTTAGTAAGAGGCAACTGTCAGGTGTGATTCATGTATTCACCACTTCCATGATCACTTCCATACATTGAATACTTCAGTCAAACATTCAAGCTTTAGCACATATACACAAATCTATTAATGCAGTATTTTGCCATTAGAAATTTAAACTGTATAATAAAAATGGAAGAGCAATGTATTGCATACTGTTCCTGAACTAAGTACAGCATCTTAAGAGAGATAATTGAGGGTTATGTCTCTTAATGACATTGAAAAGTCTTCTTTCTGTGGACACAAATGCTAAGGATAGACAACATATTATCAATGGATTTATCAATATTGTGCATATCTAGTCACTGCTTTTATTATTATCTTGACATACCGAAATTATCAAGTTTATCAGATAATGGTTGATACTATTAGCAAACCAGTCAATCAAGTATCAAAATCTGCTCTTTTCCCTTTCTGTAACATATAGGACAAAGCAGGCAGATGAATTTAACAGATCACCCTGATGAAGAATATTCTATACCAAATTCAGAATGAAAGTTGCATAAAATGGTCTATCACAACACCATATAATTCAACTATCATGTCAATCATATCTGAAACTTTCCACTAAGAATGTTTGAGTAGGAGTATTTGTTCAGTCAAAGAAGCATGAACAATGCTCCTTTGGAGCATGAACAGCTATTATTTAATTCAGAGAGGTTATTTCCAATTACAAGATAAACAACTTTCTCACAGATGAAGAAACAAACAAGAATTTGGCTTAGAATCTTAAACCAGAAATTAAATAAAAACTATAGAAACTTTATTTGATATTTACAAGCATGTTTTCTAACTGAGTAAAGATTCTTGGTTCTTTAGCTTCTTTATAGCTATTAACTCTCCCATCAGAATAAATCATTCAAAACAAAACAAACAAATGAACAAACAAAAAAACTCTTTCAAACTGGTAGCTTTTTTGTAATTACTTAGGAAACACTGGTTTTCAGAAAGACTAGGATACATTTAATAAAATTTGTTCTAATTTGAAAGGCAACCTCAGAAATAATAGTAAAAAGAATCAAAGGTTTTGTAGCTATTGTTGGATAGCGAGTGACTCATTGAAACACCTAATGTCTTCTGCTTATTGTTGAACAAGTGATCCAGTTTCTTTTTTTCCAAAGCAGTGGGGATGGGAAGCATATATATTCCAGGGTTATCATCTCAAAAGGAAGATTTTTCTCCTTCTTGGGCCTGTTACTAATTTTTCTTAACCAGTTACTGATCCCACCCAGTATCAAAGACTGGGAACCAAAGGAAACCAACACAGCTAAACATCTGATAATCAACTTCCACTGAAAAAAAAGTAACAGCTTCCAATAAAATGCACTTAGCTCTAATTTCCTTTTCTCAGCTTAGCTGCAAATTTTGTCTCTAGTTATGTTCAGGAAAACTCAGCAGAAATGCAACAGCACAACTTTAAGCAGACTTCAACAGTTGAAGTACATGCATATTATCAATTTAACAAATTGCTCATCTCACAGTTCATATGATTCAGATCATGATGCAAGATATTACTGAAATCTGGAAGAATACAGCTCGAACTTCAGGTTTCAAGCTGAATTACCAGTGCTAGCTTCTTAGATAGCGACCTTCTATTGCAACACAAGAAATGTTGTGGATTCCCTAAGAAATACATGTGAAACAGCATGAAAAACAACAACTACTATAAAACTGCTAGTCAGTGCTGGCAGTCTGCAAGGGAGAACTACAGAAAACTTGTTTAGGAATACAGAAATGGTGTTAAGAAAGGTAAAGTTAAACTTGTTTTTGAAATTGTCATGAGAGATCAGTGGCAACATGGAGAATTTTTATTGCTGCATTTTCTGTGTTTTATAAAGGAATATGTGGGCTTGTTGTTGAATGGGCGGATGATTTAGAAACAGCAAATGCAGATAGGGCTAGAATATGCAATGCTGTCTTTTTCTTTTCATCAAATAAGTGTAAATTTTGTGCCTACAGACAGGGTTCAAGGAGAAAAGGAATGACCAACAGTGGAAGGGGATAAAGTCAGAGATTACTGTAGATAGTTTGGCACATAAAAACCCATGGTACCAAAAGCAATGCATCTGGAGGTGCTGAGGCTGTTATCTTTGAAAGGTCATATTATCAGGGGAGACCACCATGACTGGAGAAAGACAAATGTTGCTCCCTTTTTCAAGATGAGCAAGGACAACTCAAGGAACTACAGGTTGGTCAGCCACGCTTACATCTATGGAAAAACGATATTGCTCTTAGAAGCCATTTCTGGGCACATTAAGGAAACTGAGGATCTCTATCCTTAGGCGGTTTTAAGATTTGATTGAAAAGAGCCCTTGAACAGAAAGGTATAGCAGGTACCCTCCTGAGGTCCCTTTGTATCTGAACAATTTCATGACAGTGTGTTTAGAGACCTACCCTTATAAGCTGATCAGAGAACAAAACAGAAATAGCATTTCAGGTTGGGAGAACATAAAAAATTAATGACAGCTTTAACCCCAATAACATGGATAACGACATCATTCAAAACAGAATGTGACAGAAAATCAGGTTACATGCTTGCCAAAAATGTGGATCCACCACATTTGTGAGACTACTTTGACGCATTCCTGATATTCTTACTGATATCTGGCTGAGATCAAACCAGAGTGTAAGTGTCCACAGTTTTAGTCATACTCAATAAAGACAAAGAGATATAACCTTCTCAGTAGACATATCCTTGGGATTTGTTTTCCTCTTTTAAAGCTCTGTATTAAATTACTTCCACAGTAACTTTCTGCCAGATAACACTCAAATGCAGACAGCTTGCTAACAAAACAATTAATATTTTTTATATTTAAAGTCCAAAACATATTTGTCTAATTACTTGAACAAAATGATTGTTGCTGAAACTAAAAAATCAGTCTGACTTCCTAATAATGGTCATTTATAATACTCAGTGGACATTAAAAAAAAATAGTGCAGTAGATCAGCTCATCTACTCTATGAAAATTGTATTTTGTTTGAAGCAAACAACATGTAGTTTTTGGACAAGTCTGTAGCAACAAGAAATAGGAATGACTGAGTTGGTCAAGTGCTATTACTGAGCAATATACCGTGTAAATTTATTGTGCTTTATAAATGATTTCTTGTTTTATCATATTTGTAATGTTTAAAGATCTAAATTGCAAATAACATTTTGCACATATGCTTATAAATGGTATACAACAGACATAACTATAATACTCTTGCTTACATAAGTTCAGACGAGTAATTAAGAATATAAACACAGTCACTGACAGAAGCACAAAAAAAAGAGCTATAAATCAAATGCTTAAACTGTGCATACCTTCTTCAACAGGTTCATACTTCAGAATAATTTCTAAGGCCCTTATTTCAGAATCTTCAGTCTGAAATTGTTCTTTTTTCAGAAATTCAATGAGCTCAGTGTCAGCTAGAATTTTGTGGTTTGGAGAGTAAGCACAGAAAAGTTCATGAAATTCAGTTCTGTGTACAATAGTTCGATAAATTGCCCTGAAATCTTCTATGTTAATAGTATGGACCTTCCGCTTGTCAACTGTTTTCTGAAGAAAAAGAAAATCAAAATAGTCAATACAAAGATATAAAAAAATACAAAGATGCACATAAAAAGTCTATTATAATACTATAAGAACTAGAACAATAGAGAAAGCTTAAGGCAACAGTGACTCCGGCACATTATCAAATGATATTTTCCTTCAATATGAAAGACTCAGATTTGACTTTCTGTGTTAGATGTATTTTATACAAATTAAAAAAATACCATATGACATAGTTGGCATCTAAGTAATTAAAGTACATTAATATATAACCCATGCAGTATTAAGACATTATATAAAACTGCACTAAAATGCTATGTAGTACAATCAATCTTCAGCATAATGTTATCAAGTGGAAAATATGCTTAATATAATACCTCTTCAACAGCAATTTAAACCATATTGTATATTGTAAGTATACTCATTTAAATTTACATACAACATACAGCAAATTGTAATCTGAAAAATGAACTAAGGATGAGCAAATTTTCATAAGATCAAAGTCTTCTAGTATGTCAAATAAGAAAGATTGTATAATTTTGGAGCAATTATACTTTATAATAACCTATGACATTGTGTTCTATTCTTAACTAGACAGAATATTTAACTCAGATTAGTTATTCACACTTTTAGAATTCTTAAACTGTAAACTTGTTTTCAAAAACAGAGCTTACAAAATGTTAGTAGGTTAATTAATTTCAGTGCTTCGGTATAAAAGCCACTAGAAAAATCAAAAGGGCAAAAGAAGTTGAGTAGAATAATATTTTTTTACCATTTCTGCTACTAACATTTCTCTCAGGCTTAACAATGTTATCTACCCTTTAAATTTTGTACACACAATATGTAACTGTGCATATGAAATACAGATGTTTCCAATAGTTTAGCTTGTATCGTTCTTGAAAGTTTTTACATTAAGACAAACTTCAGAAATTTCACAAAATTCACAAAAAATGGTCACAAAAATCATACCCAAATGGTAATTAATTTCCCCATTTATTACCTCTATAAGCTAATCAACATTCATAATTGTTGGCTCCTTAAACTAAGACTAACAAGGAGGCTGGATTTCAGTACGTAATAACATGACACCTACTATGGTTAGCAGAACTTTTCCCAGAAGTGTTCATAACCATAAAATGCCTTACTTGAGTTCTGTCTGCTCTTTGATTAAGACTTCTGATTACCACTGAACTAGATTAATTTTGAAGAGACACCATAAAAACTAAAGGATGAATGTTACATTACTAGATTCTGTCTATGCAGTACAGTTCCCACTGTACTTGTGTACTTGTCTGAACAAGTACAACAATAAGCAAGAATACATTAGATAACCAATACAAGGACATGAGATTATTATTTTAAATTACATATCAGTAGTGAAGTATTTTCTCTGAGTTTGTGGAAGAGAACTGTAACAATCACTTTTAATGAAACTTGGAAGAAAAGAAATAATTCACTACAAATGTTAATAATATACTTTTCATTACTGCATGGAAAATATCACATCTCAGGTTGATATCATGGATATGTTTTTTAATATCTTTAAAAAATCTGCAAATTTACTCATAACTGTTAAATAGAAAAAAGAATATATCAACTCATTTTGGAATTAAGCAACTTATCAGGACTCATGAGACATTCTCTTACGTATTGGCACAAAATGAAGCTGGCCAGAAAAAATAAATTTTCTATTTTATTGTACTTTTCTGAAACATAGACAATAATACTAAGCAGGGGTGCTTTTGAAGTCAAAGTTATGAAAATCACATCAAAATATATTAAATAAATAAATAAAATAAAAAAAAAAGTTGTTTTTAATCTTATTTTTGTTGGGTTTATTGTTCTTATTTTTATTAATGAGTATCAAATCTTTGCTATCCAGAAAAAAAAAAGTATCTTGACAAAGACTTAGTTCTGAAAACTATAATAAAATTAATTTTTCCTTAAAAATCTTTATGTTCATAATAAATTTAACGAGAATAAAACAACAACAAAGCAGCAAGAAAAGCAGATTGCTCTTTAAAAGCTATGCTTATAAAATGTATTTTTTTCATGTATAACCATTTGATTAATTAATTAATTACCAATGTACAGTTACAGACAATGATGGCAGTAAAATAATCTTCCAGATGGTTTTGAATTTTACATACAATTATACTGATGAGTAAGTTCAAAAAAAAAAAAAAAGAGAGAAAAAAGAAAACATGGCTGCACTGCTAAGAACTATATCAGACTGTTGAGTATATTTTCATATTGACTTTTAAGTTCAACTGTTTCAAGTTTTACAAGTTCAATCAGACTTGTTCCATACAGGTCATTTCCTCAAATAATTATTCTTTTTACTTACAATTGATCAACTCTTAAATTTCCATCAGAAAGTGAAGTAGGTAGAACATAGAAGACAACAATGAAAAATAGCTTCAAGTTCTCATGAGATTCTCAAGGCTAGCACTTCTCCCAGTGGCATGCAAATTCAAAAATTGTTAAAAAATGAGCTAAAAAGAAAATTCATACATCTTTTGAGTAATTACTAGAGCAGACCTGAAGAACATGAATCCTCAGTATGTCAAAGACAGAAATGTAGCCTTCATAGAAAACTCTTTAAATATTGCTGTATCTTACGTCCACATCCTTCCCCCAGGGGTAGAGTGCAATGGATGGATGGGACATCCAGGTACACCTCTTACAGACTTCACAAGAGAGGTATGGTGGAATTGAACAAGAAAGTGTGCTGGAGCTATGTCAGCTTCAAGCTGGAACAGATCAGACATCTCTATTTTGTTGTTCTGGCAACAGGATTGTTAAGAAGTCACTCTAATGGCTCTGACCAGCATCAGACAGGCACTTCTGGGCTCATTAGCTTGATCACAAAAGCAGCCACATAGGATGAAACCAGAATATTTACATTTTCCTCCACTGAGGCCTAGTTACAGAACTGCTGGTTACCAAGACTTACATATTTTTTTTATCACTCAACACTACTTGGATGTGGTGAAGAGATGGTAGCAATGCAACCACTCAAATATCTGTTTTACACAGAAACAAAAGAGCTGGATGTGGCAAATTATTTCCTGATTTTGCACACACCCTACTACCATACAAGCATGAAATTCACTTCTTGAAACACTAATTAAAAAAAAAAAAAAAAAAAAAAAAAAAAAAGGTAAGCTAATATAAGGCCCTTATGTAACTGGCCTTCTAAATTTATTTAATTTCTAAATCTACATATTCCTCACCTTGAAAACATGTTTCACATGAGCAACATCAAAAGTGATATGCAGTTTTTCAAGCAGCTTCATTGTGCTATGTAAATCAATTTTCCCATTCATGAACTCATCTTGAATGATGTTCAAAAACCATGTACAAAAGATCACATTAAGGAAACATCTGCAACACGTCATTGTCTCTTAGTAGGGGGAGCAGGATGAGTGGTTTAAATTTTTGAACCTAAAAAGCTTGCATATTTTTCTTCTCATACTCAAACCTCAGAGACCCTCAGAGACCTTGAGGGGCAAGACTGACAGAAAAGAGCCAAAGAAAGTCACAGGGAAGGTACACAGGAAAACAAAAGGTAGTCAGGGTGAAGAAAGGGCTGTAGTGAGAGGAAGTAAACTTGGGAAGGCCAAAGGGATCAAGCTGCCATAGGGGACAGTTGGAAGAGGGGTGTCCACAACAAGCAGCAGTGCCTCAAGGGCACCTGGCACCCTGCCCACCCAACTGGCCTAACTGTCCCCAGCTGGACCTCCTCTGGTCCCATATGGGCTTAGGGTGGGCCTGGGCCTTGGGGCAGACATGCGCAGAGGGAGGTTACATGACAGCTGTCACAAGGGAGGTCAAGGAGAGGAGGAGGATATCTGTTCTCCTCCATGGCAGCTCCACATTGCCTGCTCTGGTCTCTTCACTGCGGTGGTGTTGGCAGCGTTAGGTAGAACATCACTTCAGCTTGCTCCAGCTCCCAGTGGGCACCTTTCCCCTCCCTTGCACGCCTGTGCCCCTGCTGGGGCCCCCAGTGCCCTCCTGGCACTGTCCTTAAACTGAGCCCCCTGCTTGGGCTGGCCCCAGGTGCTGCTGTGAGGTCACAAACTGTGGGGCCCTGGAGCAGGGCCCTGCCCACCGCTGCTCCCCACACCCTGACATCTTGTGGTTTTGCCCTCCAGCTCCCTGTGTCCCCTTCCCTCACCTGTGGTGCCATGACCTTTGATTGGCCAGGACCCTCAGCATGAGCGTGAAGCAGAGTGAGCCGGAGAAGGTGTCCCTCATTTGCAGACTGCTGCGCCAGTCCCCTCCTGGGGAGTTTGGGCAGGTTGTCCAAGACCTCTATGCTCTGGTCAAAGATGATGAGCTGGTGAGGCAGGAGGCTGCCCACGTTGGGGCCCATCACAACAAGAAAAACTTCACCCCTGTCCAAGTAAATGGGAGCACTGTGCTACTGACCCACTATAACGATTTAGGGGGAAACCGCTTCTTTTACCCCCAAGACAAATTCTCTTTTGAGTTTGACCACTTGAGTGGGATAACGAGCAAAACCCATTTGCACAGCGTGATGTTGGATGAGGAGGAACTGTGGAGAGGAGCCCTCCACAAGGGATTGAACACCTATGTGAACTGCCACTTTCCAGCAGGGAACTGCTGCGTGTTCAAAAAATCCCTGGGCAAGAGGCAGATGTTTGTGGCCTGCATTGAGGCTCATGAGTACCAGCCCTTAAAACACTGGAACAGCCTTTGGAAGTCTGACTGGACTTTTGCCCTGACTCCAATTATGACTCGGGTTACAGGGGTATTTCTTCTCCAGTTACACTACTTCAAAGATGCTAACCTTCATGTTACCATCAGAAAGTCTGTAAGTGAGTCTCTGCATGTGATAGACCGAAATCAGTTTGTCTCAGATTTTGTGAAGTTCGTGAAAACTGAAGATGACAAGATTCATACTGCTATTCTACAAAACATTCAGGCCTTGTCAGAGGATATGTGGAGGAAAGATCTGCGAAGGAAACTCCCCATTACTCGTACTTTTATGAACTGGAATGAGCTGCTGAAAAATTATCACCAAAATACCAATGTCTCCAGTAAAAAAGTACCTGCATAATTACCGAATTGCACTATATGATACAGTGGCATAAATAAATAAATAAGAGAAGGTCAAAACAGGATTGTTATGTAGTTGATCTATTTCTAGATCGCTCAGGAGAGTGCAGAAGCTGTCATCAGTCAATTACCACTTTGAAAACAATCCAGGTCAATACAGACACAATCATTTGCTGTTTTTGTTGTTGTTCATTTTTTTTTTTTTTTGGTGTTTGTTTGTGTGTTTGTTTTTTTAACTTTCTGGTACTTTTTAACTGCTTCTAGAGGTACTAGCAATGGTCACTGTCAAAGGCAGCACACTGCTACAGGTAAGCCAGCAGGCAAACTGTTACTTTGCTTTGTAATTTTCTTCAATATCGTATGTACTTAACCTCATAATATTTGTAGCATCTCTTATAAGGAAATTGGTAAGGTAGGCTGGCAAAGATATGGAGGTGCTATTACTAGATTTTTTTAGTGATACTGAAGCCCAGGAAATTCAGCCTTCAAGCTTTGCTTGCGCATACCTCTCTGTATGCATGAGACATCCCTAACAGTCACGTGAACAAAGAGAGATCAGTACATAGGAGGAATAAATTTACTGTAGCTAGCACAGAAAATACGGGACTGAATTAGGGATGTGTGCTGGCTGTTGCCTATCACTCATCACACAATAAAGAAAGCAATGCTACTTCTCTCAGTTTTCAAGCAAGTTTTCAAATGTTTATTACAAATTGCAAAGGAGTTTGATCCACTGCCATTTTTTTTAGTATGAAACAGTAAAATACATCCGTGTATTGCTACTATCATGGTATTCAGACAACCAGTTAATCTGTTCTGCAAAAGTGACTATAAAGATGTAAAAGTTTTTACCTAGTTTTTACTAGAGCTCTAGTAAAAAAAGAAATGGGGGGGGGGGGAGGGACAGGGCAGAGTAAGAAGGACAGCATGGAAAGTGCAGGAGAGGACCAGAAACTGTAAACTGTATGGGCCCCTTCAGCATTATGCAGATGTATCGGGGCTATCTCCTCAACAGCTACTTCAGATGACAAAAGTGGCAACAGCACGTAAGAGATAACTTTAAAGTCAGCAGAAAAGCTAAGTATACTGGGCATTTCTGTTATACCAGCTAGTTTATTAGATTTTGTGTGTGAATATAATGTTTCACATATTCTAGCAGTATTTTGTCTTATTTTCAAGCTCTGACAGTGATACTTTGCTAAAATGTTTATTACAATAAATTGCCTACTGCTTGCTGTTGTCTGTAAACATACCTTTTAATTAGTTCTATTAGAAACAAAGTTTGATTTGAAGCGGTATTGTAAACACTCAACTTTCTAAAAATATTGAAGTGAATATTTAAGCAATGTTCTTACAAATATCGTTGTTTTTAATGTAAGCATAAGATTTTGGTTTTGCTCATAAGTTAGTGGCAATTATGTTATCATGTGGGTTGAGCATGCTCATTTGTAAATACTGATTAGTGGCATTATAGCTTCAGTGCTGTCTGGCCATGATTGCTTTCATTGTCTTTGCTTTAAAATGTGGTAAAAACTATGCGTTACTATGTTATGGTTTGGGGGATAAGCAACATACTGTGGAAATGCTATCTTCAGCTTCTTTGATGTGAAATGAAGATTTTGCGTCTGTACTCATACCTGATTTAGGAGGTTCCTTTATATACACATCAGGATATGATAATTAATTACCCAGAAAAAAAAATAACAAAAAGGTGTCTAATATAAAAACTGTCATTCTACATAATTCTGTATTGTTGATGATAAAGTCATGCTCAATTTTTATTTATAAGCATACTCATTTTTAAAGCCTTATGGTTGTAGTGTTGCCAATATTTGAATTTAACTGAAAGAAGTTGCATTTATTTATACACTGATTTTCTTCAGATTTCCATTGACTAGAGTACATTTTTCATCTGATTGTTCATCTTTATGGTCATTCAAAACAAAGATCCTGGGAGTTTATGCTAATTCTTTTGCAGAACGGCAATCATCATGCAGGGTTTCCTTCCTGCAAGCAGAAAGCAAACTGCTGCCCGTGTAACAATGTCCCTTGACAATACCTCTTACAGATGCCCATTTGTTAGAGAATCTGCACCATGTACTTGAAGAGGGAGAAGGATGGAGCATGGAGACCATTCCCTGTGTTCCTTTGATTCTTCACAAAAAGCTACATTACCTATGGGTCATTCTCTCTTCACCCCACAGCTGCTACTGAGATCCATCCAACATCAATCCAGCTCTTTTAATGTCCATGCTGCTGCTAGAGACCATTCAATGAGCAAGCAGCTGTCTTTACATGGTATTTATTTGAATATGTGATTATTTCTTTACTGAAAATTAGAGTAATTTTATTAAAAATATTATACAATCCAGGGCTGCTATAAAGAAGATGGCCTGTTGTTAGTGTAGTTCATGTATGCAGTACAGAACAAGAGAGGAATTTCTGACGTAAATTTAAGTGCGATCAGAAATGGGGACAAAACACTAGAAATTCTGGATTGTGAAGAAAGCACTTTTACTTAAACACAAATAATGAGCATAAACTAACAACAAGGAAACATGGAAAAGACTAAATAACTAAAGGACTTTCAGATAGGTATTCAGTTTCGACATCTATTCCACCATGTCAATCCCTTGTCAGATGCAAACCTATGATATTTTGCAATACACTGTTCTGTAGAATTAAATTCTTTCTTTAGAATGCAGTTTCCATAGGGCAAAACTGTAGCAAAAAGTGCAAGAATGAAAACATTTAATAGTGAAGGATTGGGTAGTTTTCCTGTCTTCCCTATCAGTTTACCTTTTCTGAACTTTCCATTTTCCCTCAGTTTCCTTTTCAACTAATAGAGTCAATCTATGACATCAAAATCTACAACAAAAGCTGCTCGGAGGGTCAGTTTGGGCAGAGTAAAGGTTCTGACGTGGCTGAAAATGCAAGCCTATGAAATGAATACAGAAAAGGCAATTGCAATGCAGGCTTTGTCAGTTTTCCCTCTACATTCTTCAAAATGGTCCTTTTTATTCTTTGGCTAAATTTAAACCTGGGGAGGAATAAATATTATGAGAAGGAAGCTAATGTGTATAACTCCATTGAAAAAATTACTGAACTTCTTTGTATATGCTTTTGTGACTGTGCATGTTTGAGATCCAGTTGCAGCTTCTTATGCTTTTGCTCCTACTTTTTGTAGGATTTTTTTGTTGTTTTCTAAAAAGAATACGTTACAGCTCATGTTGTCTTTATTCATAAAGTCTCCTTCCTTTTTTGTCTGGTGCTATGAAAACCATTCACAATCATATACCAACTGTGAATACTTTTTATTGGCATCAGTACCCTGTTCTGTGTTTGTTGTTGTTTTTTTGTTTTTTTTTTTAGGAAAAAATGTAGACTGATAAGGACTGAAAAAAATAGATTATCAGGAGGTATCTTTCTGTAATATACTGCTTCCTCCTTCAGCTTATCTTTTTTTGTTACTGAGTGGCCATGGTTATTTCTCTCAAAGCAGATAATCACCTATTCTATCAGTTCAGAACATTTACACGATGAGATGCAATTTTCTTTCAAAATAAAATGTGAGTTTTATTTAAACTTTGTTCTTCCATTTACATGCTTGCAGTCTCATTGGAATAATAAAGTTGGTACAAATGTACCTGAGCCAAATTGGCTTAAGTTTTTGATTTCTGAAAATCATTGAGTGTCTACCATTAATTGTTGTTGCAAAGAAAATTATCATTTTTATTACACCAGTAACATTAGAGCTTATCTTGGACTTCATTATCAGCTTCCAGCTGCATTAAAATTGGAAGAAAATCAACACTTAATATTAGTATTTGGGTCGATTATTTGATGTTCCCATTATAAAGTTTGCTTCATGTTTTGCTGGAAATGCAGCAGGTGGAAAACATATCAAAATGAGGACACTTAGCAAATCAGGTTTCATCATTTCATTTTCAAATAGTTGTGTTGAATTAAAAGCAATATTCTTCTATTTTTGGAATAGATAGAAAAATCTTGAACAGGCACTAAAGATTCATGTTATGTGTTGGCACTGGGGCTGCAGAAAACAAGGCTTAACAATCCTCCTTGTATGAATCATTGGAATAAATTCATGTTTTTCCCCTTGCAGTCTCTAAAAATTGCATTAATTGTTTCTTTGCCTCATTCATGGAATGAATGTGACCATATTTGAAAAAAAAAAAAAAAAAAGCATCTACTTATATGTTCTCCAGGATGTAGTCTGTATGCAAAACTCTGCTGTATTCCCTATTCCCTGATATTCCCTGATATCAAGTTGTGAAGGAAAAGCATAGTTATCAGATGATTTTGAAACAGAGAAAAGTGAAAGAATGACAACAAATGTGCTGCCAAGTGTCCCTCTCTCTCTTACTGACTTCAAATAATCAACACATTAATGTTCCATTTAGAGTAAGACTAATTCAAGGACTGTTTTTCTTTCTACTGTAAGAATGGTTTAACATATTCAACAAATGTGAAAAAGCATATTTATCATATTCCAAGTGCAAGGTATTTCCCAAGTCTGTATGTCAGTATGCCAGTGTTACACAAATAGTGAATTTTATAATTAATTTTAAAGCAAGATTTGGAGTTCTTAAATGTATAGAGTGGCTTCAAAATATCAGTATTTCAAAAATGAAGTGTTATTCATAGCATATCTTGCAGTTTTCCACAGTTAAAAGTATTTGTCATAGTAAGCCTTTGGAATTGCAGCCATACTAAGTTGAAGGGGGGCGGGACCCAATAAAAATAAAAACAGATGGCCCATATTATATCAAGCAATTTCTGTAGCACATTATTTTTTAATGGAACAGCAACTACCATACATCCTTAAATTCGTACCCAGAAAAATCCTGAGATTGTGGGATCTTAGTGACAGGACCTGTTTGTTTTGTTTCATTTTATTTTATTTTGCTTTAGTATTATCATTTATAAAGCACATTTGGACCATTGTCTTTCCTTCCATAACTTTTGGGCAAGTCACACAGATCTATATTCCTAGA